TTGCAACAGGAAGAACATACGAGTGTCTAAAATATTCTGCTATTCTATCACTTTAGGCTTTGGGCTGAATAATACCTGAAACATGTGATGCTATGAGAACTATGGCAGGCAAGCTCGCAGGACGCCACACACGCTAAGGTATACTCGCAGGTAAGCAAAACCGAGCGGCATAAAATATGAATTTTCATATTTGCTCGGTTACATGTACACTTCCCGTCATATAAAACTGGTACACTTTTTTCCCAATGTAAACCTGTGTTTACACTGGACACAGTGGTTCGTGAATCAATTCGTTGTTGCCATCACAGATAACGAAATTTCAGTAAATTTAAATAAAACGTAAAAAATAACGTTCAAAAATGTAAAAAGTTTTTAGATAGGTATTATTTTTATTATTAACAACAAAAAACCGTATATAATAAATTTAATAACCAGAGAGAGCATTGAGTTAATGTCCAAAATGTTAAAATTAAAAGATATTTAAACTTAGGGTATTGGCACATTTGAATACATCTACTGTAATTTTATACTTCAATTACTTACATAACACAAACTGTTAATTGTACGTTAAGTCAATAAGTCTAGTAACAGGCAAACTACCTAGATTAATTTATTATTTATAAATGTGAAAAACTAACATTATACTTTATCCTACTTAGATTATAAACTATAAAATATCTGGGGCGAAAAACGCTTTTCAAAACGTGACAGCAGATATTACATTAAAATTCAATATCTCACTGTAATGTTCCTTATGGAGGTTGAATCTACACCCTAATTGTAATTCGTTTTTATCTATAAATAGACTATTACTTTTTTTTACATTATTATGTATAAAACGTAAACAAAAAAGATTTATCTACCCATTGAGATGCATATTTTTTTCAAAATTATAGAATTTACGGTGTATAAATGATAATGAGAATAAAATTAAACGGAGTAAGATATTATTGTCTGTCTTAAAAAATCCTCTTGTAAATAAAAAATGTTGGTTTAGTATCTACAGTCCGTGTTATCAGTCCGTGAAAACTTACCGAACATATCCGAACGATTAAATATACAAATTAAACATAAAAAATATTGCTTACCATTAGTCAGATTTGACAAGTTTGTCAAAGTGAATTTTTAAAGATGCCACGTCAGTTAAGTCAGTTTAATAAAACGAGAATAATTTCAAAAATAGAAGATAGTTAGTCTATTCTACAACTGGCTCAAAATTTAAATAGAAGCAAAACCACAATCCACAACATTAAAAAAAGATGGGAAAACGAGCAGACTTTGGATAGAAGGAGAGGTAGTTAGTGGGAGACCAGTTATTACTAAAGCCCAACAAGATGAAACATTAATTAATTATTTAAGAGCGTATCCCTTCTATACGGCAAGGCAGCAAAAGTTAATACAAACTTTAATGCTTCTATAAATACAGCATTAAGGAGAATTAGAAGAACAGATTTGAAAAATTGTGCAACCGCCAGAAAATACAAATTTAGCCAGGAACATAAACAAAGTAGACTCCTATTTGCTTTAAATTACGTTTTAAATGATCCAGTCAATTTTTGGGACCGTGTAATTTTTACTGATGAAAAAGTATTCCAGTCTCATTATGACGGCCATATTAAGGTTTATAGACCGCCTCGAAATAGGTTTAACGACAACTTCTTTTTCTTCAAGTGCCCTTTCCGCTACGGAATTTGGCAATTATCATTGCTATTCGTATTTTTGAAGCTGTTGCTTTAAATAATTGGTTAGATGTGCACTGGAACCAGTCTCTTAAATTGCGCAGCCAATCGGTACTTTTACTATACTAACGACAACTATATTTCATCAAATGATAAGTCCGGACGGTTCTCTATAAATGTTTGGGCTTGGATGTATAGAGGAGGTTTAGGAATGTGTTGCAGAATTGAAGGACGATTTAATACTGAAACCTATTTACATATATTAGATAATGTGATGTTGCCATCGGTTAGGGAAATTTTTCCCAACAATAATTTTATTTTCCAGCATGACAACTGTTCAAGCCACACATCCCACTGTGTACGGTACCAAACCTTATGGAAAATAGTATTGAAGGTCTTCCATGTCCCTCTAAAAGTCCAGATATTAATCCAATAGAGAACGTTTGGGGACTTATGATCAACAAAATACAAAAATTAAATATAGTTCCCCAAAACAGAGATCATTTATGGACCATCATTGAAGAAACCTGAGAAAGCTTGGCCGAAGATGAAAGTTTGTCACTAAATTTAATTAACTCAGTTCCCAGAAGATTACAAGAAATGATTAATAATAATGGAGCTATAACAAAATATTAACTTTTCGAATTACAATACATATATTTAAATTCCACACAAATTATTAATTTTTTATTAATTTGGACATGAACACATAAGGTAAATTTGGAGTAAAATGTACCAAAAAATACAAATTGGTAGAAAATTAAGTCTCTGTGGTGGATGAATTGTCGGAATGGTAGAGCTGAAATCACAGAGCAAATCTACGGCGAGACTATAAGCCTATGAGCCTCAGAATCTTCACATTGTGCTTTTTGGCATATTATGTACCTGTGATATTTTGCTTTGAATGCCTTGACTGCATCAAGTAACTCGCGTTTTAGGTAGTCTTCTTCAAAAAATAGGTTCTTTGACAGAAGCCATTCTGGAATATCTTTTTTTGGTGTTGAACTGTTGGAAATTTTTTCTGACTTTCTGCTGTGATAGGAGGCATTGTCCATTACAACAGTTTTTTCTAGCAAATTTAGCATTAAGCCGGCCACTCACGGTACAGCGGCGTTGTTCAACTTCGTCGAGTTCGACGAATTGACAAGGATTTTGATCGTGTGTGACCGTGCATCCAACGAAATCGTACAATTTGACCGCAGACAGACTGGCCTGTCTGCGGCAGTACTGCAGAGTTGATTTTATCAATTTTTGAGCGTGTGTGACCGTTTACAATTTGTCGATACTGCAAAAATACATTTTTAACCACACACCATGATATAAGGAAACAAGGTATGCTCACACGCATCTATTTTGAACAGCCAATCGCGTTTACGACCAAAATCCGCCATTTTGAAGGCGGCAATTCAAATATGTACAAAATTGATAAAAAATATTCATTAATCCAATTAATTCAGATTTAAAATGATCTGAACAGACTCTTGCTAAAATAATTTTTAAAATTAATTTAAAAAATTAATATTATTCATTAATCCAATTAATTCAGATCTAAAATTATATGAACAGACTCTTGCTAAAATAATTTTTTTAAAATCGAAACAAAACAAAAAAAAAATACTTTTAAATTACAATACATTGCACAGTAAGGTAAAAAATGCAACACACAGCTGGACGGACGTAAACAATGCAGACGTCACGCATGTAGAGGTGGTTGATCCAAGTATTTTTGTGGATCAGGTTAAACTGATACGCGTATACAAAAATACTGGTTTGGAAATCAGTTTAGTTATCATTCGTTTAATAGATATCTAAACATAACGATAACATTATTTGTATTTTGTTAGATTTCTTTATAGTTATTAAAATGACTATTTAACTTCAAATACCTAAATTACTGTTATTACATTACATTAATAATACATCTGTTGATATTTATCTAAAGCTTTGTAAACCCTAAGAAATGCACGATAAAAATTAAGGACAAATGCAATGAAACAATTAAATTATTTATTTTTTATGTATATTTGTCATCGATATTTGTTGAATAATCCACTGATCGACAAGCTTATAATTTCCTGACGAATATGAATAACAACAAATGAATACGCATAACATGATTATAATAAATTTTACCAGTACTACATGAACAAGTAGAAAATAAATATTTGCAAATAAAATTTTAAATATTTAATAATATATTTATTTTATGTGGTAAGCCCATGATTTCGTGGGAATAACTAGAAAATTATTTGTATTGCTGAGAAATTAATTAATTTCTGTTTCGAAATCCTAGTACATATATATATATATATATATATATATATATATATATATATATATATATATATATATATATATATATATATATATATATATATATATATATATATATATATATATATTGTTTGAGTTTAGTTCTTGAACCTTAATATATATATTTTACGGGATTTTCTTGGGCTTAGGTTCATAAAAAAATTGATTTGATACTACGACATTTTCATATATATTTCCGACGTTTCGGCAGGAAATCCATGCCTTTTTCAAGAAATAATATTGACTGAAAAAACATTTCATGACAGACATAATACGGTTTAAAAGTTAAATTTTTGACTTACCAAGCATGTAAAATATGGTACTAACAAGTAAACGTCACAATTAAAATAATATTAAAAACATAGGACATACCCACTAAGTCACTACGTGTAAAATGTATTTTAAATCTAATGTGTTTATTGATGTTGGTTTATCGTTTAAACAATCAGTTATTTTAACATCATAGGCGTTCTGAGATTGTTTTTTATGTGTTTTTAAATTAAGTTAAAATATATTTTGTTTAAATTTTTGACATCTTTTTTATCATTTATGGCGTTGTTATTTTTTTTATTTGTATAGACTCTAGAAGCTCTCTCTTCTTCTTGTTGGGTTCACTTTTTAGGATCTTGGTTTTCTCAAAATCAAATTTGTTTTTTTTTTTCGTTTTCATGTTTTGTGAGGGCAGTTGAGTTTTTTTTGTCATATTTGTGGGAACGTATTCTTGAGTTAAGTAGCTGACTGGTTTGTCCAATATAAACTCCATCACAATTCGAGCAGGGAATTCCATATACAACATGCGATATTTTTAATAGAGGGTTTTTGTTTTACAAAACAAATGAGTACAGTACCCGTACCATGGACGTATAAATAAAGATCTTTATTTACACGTCCATGACCCGTTTATATTGGTGATAGGGATCAGTTCCACAAGTATAAATAAAATACATGTTTCAAAGTAACTGGTACGGGATCAGGTCACCATCCCTACACGCATATGACCTATTGAAAAGATGGTGGATTTTGGTCGGCGCAGCGATGTGCAAAAACGAGTCCACCTAGTGAGCATACCTTGTTTCCTTATATCATGCTACACACTTGCTTTAATCATATAGAAAACCGACATGGCTTCATTTAGCGAGAATTTTTTAAGAGAGTTTTTTGAATTATATAAAGAACAAGAATGTTTATGGCGAATTAAAGGTAAAACGTATCACGATAGAAACGCCTGAAAACAGGCAATGGACATTTTAATATTAAAGTTCCAAGAAGTAAACAAAGATGCGAATGAAGAGTATGTAAGAAAAAAAATTAACAATTTTAGAACATCCTATAAAAGAGAACTAAAACTAGTATTGCAATCAAGTAAATCGGGTGCAGGGACAGACGAGATTTATAAACCTAAATTGTGGTATTTTCCGTTGCTTTCATTTTTAAATGATCAGGATGTACCCCGAAGAGCTATTTCAAATCTATCTGATGAGGAAGAGGTAAGTAAATTAAAAAAATACATTCTAACAACTTTATTTTGCCAACTAACACCCCCTTCATTATTAAAATATGCCATAAAATTTTCTCTTGTAATTTTTGCGACCTGTATTGAACTTTTAGCACTAGAACTGATTTCTAAATTGGTTAAATCATCTGAAGTAATTCGCAGTCCTGGTATAAATATTCCAGATTCTTCGTCTTCATGATCCAAATGGTGTTGAGGAGTATATCCTTTAGGACTTTTTTACGCAAAAAATTATGTACAACGCAACATGCCATTACTATTTTCTCAATAGCTTTCACATTAACCTGTATGTCTGTATGAAATATTCGAAATCTAGCAGCTAAAATTCCGAATACATTTTCAATTATGCGCCGCGCACGTGACAATCTGTAATTAAAAATGGTTTTTTCTTTTCCTACATTTGTATAAGGAAATGGTTTCAGTAAGTTTGGTCCTAACAAAAAAGCATCATCTCCAACAAAAACATAAGGTAGAGTTCGTTCGCTAGGTTCAATTTTTGCTGGTTGAGGTATGTTTAGAGTTACGGATACCAATTTCTCATAAAATTTTGTATTTTTTAACACACCTCCATCCGAAATTCTTCCATTGGTAGCAATATTGCAGTACATAATTTCATAATTTGCATTCGCTATAGCCATAAGAACTATACTGTGAAATCCTTTGTAATTGTAAAAGTAGCTCCTGAGTGAGCTGGTGGGATAATTCGAATGTGCTTTCCATCTATAGCACCTAAACAGTGTGGAAAGTTCCACATTTCTTCAAACATTCTTTCATTCCTCTTCATTTTTTGGAAACTAAAAAAAACATTATTTGTAAAAAAATATTCAATCTACCTAATACATTAAAATATTTATATAAAAGGCGAAATTAATATTAAGTTCTGGCAACAACATGAAACCAAGATAATATAAGTTTACTCATTTTTTTAGGTGACTAATTTAAGCAGCCCAATTGGCGATGACAATTTTTCACCAATAACTGCTGACAATGAAGATTGACAATTGTCTCAAGACTCGACACTATCAGTTAGTAGTGCTACTCCTTCATCTACCAAAACTTCATATATTTAAAACGACTGCGAGCAGCAACAGATCCCAGCGATGAACTTCTTATGACAATAAACGAGAAGTTACAACAGTCAACGCCAGTTGTTCAAAGAGAAAAGGATAGATTGGATATTTTTGGGGATAATGTAGCCGTAAAATTAAGGGGGCTTCCTAGTAGTCAAAGAATAATCGCAGAAAAACTAATAAATGACGTTCTATTTGAGGCCGAAAGTGATGTTTTATGCAGGGGATGGCGATTGCAGCCACCATCAAGCATTTCAAGTGTTACCAATAACTCTCGAATTCAAAATAATTATTTTGGCAGCACGGCGACAGGTACTACTTATGTACAATTAGAAGCTCATAATGTCGGTCAAAATAATCCACTATATTCAGCATCTGAGGTTTTTTCCACTTTTAACGATAACAATAATAAATAGTAAGTTTAGTTTCGTTATATGTATTTTTTAACTACTTTTGTTTTTTTTTGTAATAATAAAACATTTTTTTTCTGTTAGCTTGTATGTACACTATAGTATAATAGTTTCATTAAAGTATAAAGAAGATTTGTTACCGTTTTTACTTACTTTCAAATATTCCTCACGAAGAACTGAATAAATAACACCTTAAGTTTCAGGTATTATTTTGCCTAATGCTTGGGGGGAGATGATAGTAGAAAACTTTAAATCTTCATAGTTTCTTCCAGTCGCCAAAAATCTAAAAAATAAATAAATAGAATATTTTGCATAATTTTTTTCAAATACAATTAAAAAAAATTAAAAAGTGTTTTTAAATGTATTTTTTTAACTTACCTTAAAGTTGCCGAAAGTCTTTCATGTGGTGATATTGCAGGACGCATTATTGTGTCATTTTTTGTAATGAGAGGAGTTACCGCTAATATCAACACCTCGTAACTAGTTTCATCCATGCGAAGGTAGTTTCTCCAATCGTCTGGATGTAATCGCAACTCAGCTATTAAATTGACATGACTCAGTGCATCCCTTTTCATAAGCCATTCTTTGCACCAAAATTTACGTTTCATTTTAGGTTTGTTTTTACGCTTTGTTATACACAAAGCAAGAGACGCTAAAATGATTGTTTGATCTGACATGGTCGAGAACCGAACAAATACTGCGGCGCAGTCCGGTGTGTGGGCGCACTAGATATGCCAACAAATTGAACAACGCCGCTGTCCGATTTTGTCGAACGACACCGTTGGACCGTGAGTGGCCGGCTTTACGTTATTTTCGAACCAATCTTCGAAGGTCGGTTAATCTATTTCGTCGTGGTAGTCCTGTGTATTTTTCTTTGCCAAAAACGTGAGCTCAGCTCCAACAACAAATCCACTAGTAGATCCTGCGTGCAATAAAACGAACCGTGCACCACGAGCTGCTGGAGCTTTTAATCCTATTGTCAGACCACGAACAAAAGCATCGCGATGAGATGTAATTGTTTTATCAACCCATACTTTTTTTACACTGTGCCCGATATTTACCCATGATTCATCCAAATACACTATGTTTTATCCTTCTGCACGGTATTTACGAATTGCGCGTAAATAACGATGACGCCACGAGATGATTTCTGGTTTTTTAATCAAAATTGCGATGTAGCGTGGCCCGTGAAAAGTTGGGCAAAGTTTCTTCGACATTTACAATAGCTAATATGGTGTTTATTGTTGGTGGTATGTTGTCGCGAAAAAATTGATGAACTATTCTACGAATTTGGACCCCGACAACTTCATCGTACTTGTTGTCACGAGAATTACCAACCTTTCGCTTCTTGGGCCTGCTCTTTGGAGATTGTAAAACAGCAGGTGATGAATATTCCTGTCGTATGCGAAACAGAGTCTTCGCAAACACCACTCATTTCTGACACTTTCTTAATTAGACTTAATACAGAATCGCTGTTATCCTGATTAAGATGATAATTAATTATATTCATTAGTATCTGCTTCTCTAAAAGTTTTAGAGCTTTTCCACGTTTCCATTGAACAATTTCCTCCATTTTGCTGTAAAAATTTGGCGTCAAATATAACAATAGCCAACAACAGAAAATAACAATAATTGCCAATAGCAAATGTCAACAACAGCCACCAACAAATAATAACAAAACAGTAACAGTACATCCAAGATGGTATAAATAATTGTAACTCGAATATGTTTACTCGCTCCGAAGAACAAATAAAGACTAATTAATGCTCTGGATGTATCAAGCTGTTAAACATATATTCTGTACAAGAATTACTCTAATTGCTTCTTAATTACTGAATACCTTAGAAGAAAGTATTTGAAAAACTTTAAAACAAATGTTTATTTAATGCACATTTTATTATACTACTGGTACTAATAAAAGATGAAAGTTGATAAGTTACTATTAGAAACAAATAATGTATAGGATTATGTAAAATTATTAGCAAACGATATTTGTAAATTACATAAAATTGTACGTGAAGACTTGTTGAGAACTAATGGTTTATTCCGTTTTTTTTTTTAAGATAGTCAATAGAGAACGCCATCGCTCACTGCATAAAACTGACAACGTCTTGGCGAAATTCCCATAAGGTTAGCATTGCATATCTTCCATATACAGACTAGTCACTTTGAGACAAAGTATAGTAGAATATGCTTTGTGTGCGTGGTGTTTGCTTTTACGTGTAGAGCTTGCGAATTTTTTAAACGGCTATGACCTTGATATCTGCTCATCCGCTCGTTCAAAATTACTAAAATAAAAAACGAAAAAATTGGCTCAACTTATTCTATTAATGAATTGCAATAGTCCATTCGAAGTTCACACTGGTCGGGTTGAATATTTTTCTTCTCTTCTACTTCTTTCTTTTATGTAGACATGACTGTCTGTTTTTCAATGTGCCTCCAGTAAGTTGTCGTTCAATCGTTTTCGTGGTCTTCCTACTGATCGTCTTCCTATTGGGGGACAGTCTCTTGCTGTCTTTACTACTCTATTTGTTGTCATTCGGCTTATATGATCGTTCCATTCCTCTCTTCAATTTTTTATCCAGAAGTGTTTTCATCTCTGCTGTTTCTAACATCCTTTTTGTCCTGTCTGTGCCAGGTCATGTTTCTGCGCGTATATTATTATTCGTCTGATGACTTTAAATTCTGTAATTCATTTCTTTCCCGATATTTTTATTTCTCCATATTGTTTCATTCAGGCAGCCTGCGGCTCTGTTTGCTCTATTTACTTGCTTCAGTTTCGAGCTTTCCGTAGTGATGCCTAGAGATTTAAACTCCATCACTTGTTCTACTTCTTGAACTGATCTTCCAGCTCCAATTTACATCTTAGTAAATTTGCTGTTGTTAAAATATTTTTTCTGGCGGTTATATTAAATTGGTGCAACAGGACTGAAAATTTTATTGGTGTTTACTTTCGTGTTTCAACTATAGCTAACGACATATTGCAGAAAATATAGTTTTTTTTTGTTTATAATGGC